ATGACAAAGAAATTAGTGAAATCCTAAAAAAATCAGCATGAGGACATGTTCAGCACTCCGATAAACAACATGAAAGTGGAAGATCTGGACAACTTCTTTATGCATGATATCCAAATTCCTGTAAATGTAACTGATATAAACACGAATGTGACAGATTTTGAAAGAGAAATTGATAACATGCCCATGTACTCAGCCCACGGGTCCAGACTCATGGAATTCAATATTTATAAAGAAATACAAAATGCCAGTAGCAAAGACACTCAATATAGTGTGGAGGGGGAGATACCAGATGCGCTTAAAACAGCAGACATAGCTCCTCTACACAAGGGAGGGAGCAAAGCATTGGCAAAGAATTATAGACCAACATGGATTGTTGATCACTAAAGAAATTGTTCACAACTATTGCTAGGCCAAAGCTAGAATATGCAGCAGTTGTGTGGTGCCCATATCTTAAGAAGCACATCAACAAACTGCAAAAGGTGCAAAGACATGCTACTAAGTGGCTCCCAGAACTGAAGGGCAAGAGCTACGAGGAGAGGTTAGAGGCATTAAATATGCAAAATCTAGAAGACAGAAGAAAAAGAGGTGATATGATCACTACATACAAAATAGTAACAGGAATTGATAAAATCGATAGGGAAGAATTCCTGAGACCCGGAACTTCAAGAACAAGAAGTCATAGATTTAAACTAACTAAACAGAGATGCCTAAGAAATATAAGAAAATTCACTTTCGCAAACAGAGTGGTAGACGGTTGGCACAAGTTAAGTGAGAAGGTAGTGGAAGCCAAGACCGTCAGTAGTTTCAAAGCGTTATATGACAAAGAGTGCTGCAAAGACGGGACACCACAAGCATAGCTCTCATTCTGTAACTACACTTAGGTAATTACTACGACAAAATCACTGAGGCCTTAGAAGAAAAGCAGAATGCAGATGTGGTATACACGGATTTCGCAAAGGCATTCAATAAATGCGACCATGGAGTGATAGCACACAAAATGAGGTCAATGGGAATACAGGTAACTGGTAAAGTAGGATGCTGGATACTCAGTTTTCTGTCGAACAGAACACAAAGAGTAACAGTCAACCATATAAAATTGAGTCCAAGCACAGTTAAAAGTGCTTCACTCTGTACCTCAGGGTACAATCCTTGCACCACTGCTTTTCCTTATTCTCAATTCAGATATAGACACAAATACAAGGCATAGCTTCGTATCATCCTTTGCAGATGACAAAAATCAGCATGAAAATTACCTCTGCTGAAGACATTGAGAAACTACAAGCAGATATTAATAAGGTTTTCAACTGGGTAGCAGAAAATAACATGATGTTTAACAGTGATAAATTACAGGTACTCAAGTATGGTAAAAATGAGAACCTTAAACATAATACAGGGTACAATCAAATCTGCCCATAGTAGGAAAACAACATGTAAAGGATTTGGGAATAATGTCTGATGACCTAACGTTTAGGGAGCATAGCCAAGCAAATATTGCTTCAACCAGAAAAATAAGAACATAAAAATAAAGGTAACTGCAGAAGGCCTATTGGGCCATACGAGAGAGCTCCTATTTATAACCACCCAATCCCACTTATATACATGTCCAACTCATGTTTTACCCTTAAACTGCGCATGGCGTATATAGTCGCCATGAGTAACATGTCCCACAATACGCATGGCGTACATATACGCCATAGGGTGCCAGGCACAATTAAAATGTCCCGCGCCTACACAGGGTTTACATCAGCTTTCTCAGGGCTCTTGTAAACAGCCGTACAGATGGCCTTATGGGAGACAGCACTCGCCTTCTGAAACAAAATAAAAGAATCGGCCGTTTGTCGGCGACGGTGTTTCTTCCAGGCTGCTTGCTGGTTTAAAGCAAATCTGTCACACATCTGCAAGAGGTCATTTGTGTGTGACTGTTCATTCAAACTATTTCCTGGTATTTTCTTTACTATAGTGGCATTTGGCACATTTTCCCATTTTAGATGCCTAAAGTTAAAATTGCCAAGGAAGATAATGCTTAGGGCAGGATTTCAGAGGTTTTCTAAGCAGTATTCTATTTTTATTAGTTGGTCTTTAAACTGTTGATGCTGGGTTCCCAGCCATATTGGTGTTTTGTTAAATGAGTGTGCGGACACTGCAAATAAGGAGACTATCCACACTTGTCCTATTTTCCACAAAGGCGTTCCTTATTCCGACTTCTACCCAGTCATTTATTCTTCAATCCATGCCTGTTGGCAGCGTTGTTGAGCTTCTGTTACTGGTAACTAACTGCATGCTCTTAAGGGTAGCCTGTCCCCTTGGCCTTCCTCCTAGCACCATAACCAACAGTGGGAAACGGCCCCATCCCTCAACCTTCCCCATCCTTTCCAAACCCTTTGGACATCAAAGCTCAAAAGCTCTGGCGAGGTTACATATTGGCCATACACGTTTAACTCACAGAGACTTAATGGAGCACCACCCTGCTCCTTATTGTCCAAACTGCCTTGGGCCCTCTTACGGTTGTGCATATTCTTGTTGAATGTCCTGACTTCCAGAATGTGCATGTGTCTTGCTTCTCGACTGTCCTTCGATAGAATCCTTGGTGAATCCGATACATTTGATATTGCTCTCCTTATGTGCATTTGCTCTTGTATTGGCATCCTTAGTTACATTTAGTGCCTTTGAATATCCCGCAACTTTCACGGTGCTACATAGTCTTCCCGGCTTGGTGCCTTCTTTTTTTATAATTACTTTAAACTGCTGAGGATTTGCATTCGGTGAGTTATATGCAAGGACAATCATCACATTTAGAATTTTTATTTTGGTTATCAGCACTTCCACTATATTGCTTGCGGTGTGTAGCAGTCGAGTACAGACGAGTGTGCCTTTGATGTACAGGCTGACCCCACCCTGTAGCCTGTTTCCTGTCACATGTGAAAAGATTGTATTCCAATATCTATATCTCATCATAATCCTTAGTGAGAATTTTGGTTAAAGCTGTATACATTTAATTTCCCTCATTTAAGATGCTAGTTATTAAGTGGATTTTATTTGTATTGTGTGTTTTCATACCTTATATTTTGGCAAATAGAAAACATGTTTTTGTATTTGTGGAAGTGCAGGGTATTTTGCATTTTATTATCTAACGCCTCCTGTTCCCCTTCATATTCCTTTCTATCTTGCCTTTTTATTTTGCCTTACTTTCAAACTGCAAGAACTTTTTAAAAATATCTCCAGTTTCTTTTATTTAAATCATTTGCATAGTGGTTAATCAGTTTTACCATATTGTAAAATGTCACTATGTGTATTGCATTCAAGCTTGTGCAGCTCTACTGTTTGCTGCAGCTGCACATCCACATGCCTTCATCTACTGTGTTCCCTGAACTAGTGGAAGTCTTCGGCGTTACTGTAATTGTAAAATATAATGTGCAAAGTTTGCATCTTGGACAATGCTAAATGTAATTTTATTATGCATCAACACTTGGTTACTATGCACATTATGTAGGTCCTTCTAAAGTTACCTCAAAGCTCAAGGCAGAATATTTTTATGGTATATTTCAAGTTTATAATTTTGTCACTTTGAAAGCAGTGATGTTGATTGCAGTTTCTTCAGAGTTTCACTTTTGCCTTTAGTAACAGTTACAGCATGGGTGGATCAAAATAAATGCTCTTGTTTGGTTCAAAAACCCACAAGTTTATATCTTGAGCAGCAATATAAGATTGTGGATAGCCGATAGTGTCATGCCACATGGAGGGGTGAAGCCACTGGTTGGACTAGCCTGCCTACACTAGCTCAGCTGCACCTTTTGACAAGGGCTTATTTTATAAAGTACCTGTGTTGCATTTGTGCGCTTTAATGAAGTTTATTGTTGCCTTTTCTGGAATTTGTTTACTATAATGACTTTATCGATATTTGTAATTAAAGTATAAATACAGTACATGTAATGAATAGAAAATTCTTATGTATCAACTACAATAAATGTGAAAAAAATTTCCTTTGTCTCCATTTCGTACAACTGGTATTTTCCTTAAATAACAAATCCTACAGTGGTCGAGTGACATGCTGGTGCTTCTTTACATTAGCGGTGATGCCATGTAGGGATATCTTTAACCTCTGTGATGTGCCGCATTTATTGTGACATTCTCCTTGTGCACTGAAAATAAAGTGTTCGCAATTTTTTTTTTTTTTTTTTTTGTAAAATGATAAATTCCCTTTCCTGAACATTTACAAAAAATATATAAAATTCCACTTACTTTGGCTGTGGGGACATCGACAAAGTAGTGCGTAACGTCATCACGGGCTGGTCGCTCATACATGAAGCTCCCAGGCGAGGGCCATTCAAGCCTTGTGAGTTGCCACAAATATATTTACAAGTAATATTTCTATATATTTTCAATACTTTATAATGATTTTTTTGTATCGTATCTGATGCATATATGTGTCCTTTACAATATTTATATAGTAGAATGTTCATAATGTTCCAATGAACTGTGATACATGTGTCAGTAATGTGTCCACAATAAATGTTTATTGTCGCAATATTACTTGTTCAAAATTCACTAATATTACATTATGTAGAGTTTCACACACTATTTACACAGTAGCACACTGTATTACACACTCGTACTTCATAAGTTAGTGATAATCAAAGAAACAGTCCATGGTAGACTGTGACTTCATTCTCGATGCACCAGGTACAGATCGATTTTTGCTTCCTGTTTCTTTGTTCTTTGCGCTTGCAAATAACACCCTAGGCCAATTCTATAAATTCATAAACAAAAAATTGCAGGTAAAGGATAATATTCAGAGGTTGAAAATGGGAAACAGATTCACAGAAAATGAAATGGAAATGTGTGAAACATTGTCAAGTTACCATGTCATGATACAGTTGACTAAGGCGCATCTGGGAAAATCCCGTGCGTAGGTTCGAACCCTTATGGATGTGTTCAACTGAAAGATAAAATTCCTTGAGACGTGTTGCAGCCAATTTAATACTGATTAAATAAAACCTCTATTTTATTGATATAATATAATATTTATTTCTGGATGGTTCAGGTATCATATGTGCAAAAAATTGTGTGAACACTTATGATATAAACATGACAACTCATGAGCAATGGAGGCCACCCACACCTGTTCAATACATGATGAATCGCTGCTTACATTCTTGGATTAGTGGATTAGATCTCTCAATTATTAGTATTTGATGGGCAAGTATTTCTCAGTATGCACTAGGTGGTATATCAGTCACATATATTCTTTTAGTGAAGTTGAGTTTTGGGAGCAAGAACTCTCTTGTGATAGTATCAATTTCTGCTATAGCAAGTTGTGCGTGTAGCCTCACCACGTCGTCTGGATCTGTGACGTGGATGAGCCGGAGGGTTCTGTACAAGTCTCGTATCACCACCTGCAATACCTAGGCATAGGAAAACAAAATGTTGATATAACAGACATAATAATCTACAGCATAGTCCAACCCTAATTATTGGGACCAATTGGTACCTCTTGTTATCTGGAAAACTGAAGAAGATTGTGTAATGTCATTTGGGCTAACTAAGTAATCATCAAAAGAAGGCACCAAGCTGGGAAGACTATGTAGCACCATCAAAGTTGCAGGATAATCAAAAGGCACTAAATATCACTTAGAAGCCAACATGAGAACAAAAGTGCACAAGGTGGGCAATATCAAAGGTATCGGATTCACTAAGGATTCCATCAAGGGACAAGTGACCACGAGAGACAGGCGGGGAAGCAAGACACATGCACATCCTATAAGTCAGGACATTCAACCTGGAAATGCACAACTGTAAGAGGGACAATACAGTTTGGACATAGGGAGCCTTTGCTCCCAAAAGGAGCAAAGGCTCAGGTAAAGTCCAACATGTGTTTAAGATCTGGAAGAGAAAACAGAGCACTTGGGGGGAAGATAAATGGAACAGACTGTGTACCATTTATTCACAAAGATATGGACAGCAGAAGAATGAATGCACAACTGAAAAAGTAGGGGGAAGGGGTAAAGGGAATATCATTACTGATTAAGAGAGCAGAAAAGTTAAGCCCCCAGCAAAAGCTGGAGGGGAAGAGAGAAAGGAATAACCACTAAAGCAACCAGGATAGGTGCCAAGCATCAGCTTCTGGAGACAAACACAGCAGCAAAAATTGAGAGATTAGAAGTTGGAGTTCATGGAAGTAGGCTTAAAAGCCATGAATATTCCATTGAAGAATAGACATACTCAAAAACAGACATAATACAAAAAACCCAGCGTTGAATGTAATGAAATGCCTTTTTTCTGGGCAAGCCCTGGGGGCTTCCTGGAGCCATCGGGTTAATGTGTGATATATTAGACCGGGGCATTAGCTATAGAGTTCGACCTACTAGGGACCACGAGCCAGAACCTGGCCCCTTCAGAAAGGTTGCATTGAGTAATGGCCCCTGAAAAAAAAATACATGTAGTTGGGGTTTTTCCTTATCTCCCATCGACCGGGGTTAGGCACACAGAAAGGTAAGCGTAACAAAACAAACCCCATGAACAAATCCACAAGGGCCGTGATGAGGATTCGAACCGACGTCCGAGAGCATCCCAGACGCTGCCTGAATCGACTCTAACGCCCTGGAGGTCCAGGGATACCACCCAGGCACCTGGCTCCCTTAGAAGCTGGACCTGAGACAGAGTGGTTATTTGAAAAGAGGGGCAAGGAATCCAGGGATCAGACGGGACAAGTTCAGAATGAACCTCAGACCCGCACAGTCCCGTGTTGGCATTGGAAAAAAAAAAACAGATGAAAAAACTCAGTTCTATAACTGAACAGCGGGGCTGTCCAATTTCAGGGAACTGAACATGTACACAGTCCAACCTAACACCAACACTAGTATAGCTAATAAGCACATACTAAGATGCACAACATACACGGAACCGACGGACTCGAAATGACACGAAACCGAACCCGGGAAGGGGACGATGCCCAAACTAACTCGTACACAGAGGAGGAAAAAGGAAATCCCCACTCCTTGTAACCGAAAGCCCTGCTCAGAGGGTTGGGAAAACCCAGGCGGGGGCCAACGGGGCCCAAAGCCCCCAAGTCAGCCCCTCCCCAACCTTGGCAACCCGTTCTCGCAAATTTAATAAGTCAATATTGACTTATTAAATATGTGCATAGGTGACATACTTAACATAATAGATACCCTTAAAAAGATTCATAGAAAACACCGACCTTACCTAACCTTGTTAGTATCTTAAGATAAGCATCTTATTGCTTCGTAATTACAATTATTACCTAACCTATAATAGGTATAGGTTAAGTAATAATTGTAATTACGAAGCAATAAGATGCTTATCTTAAGATACTAACAAGGTTAGGTAAGGTCGGTGTTTTCTATGAATCTTTTTAGGGGTATCTATTATGTTTAGTATATCACCTATGCACGTAGTTAATAAGTCAATATTGACTTTACGAATTTGCGAGAACGGGTTGACCCTGGGAACCTCCACATCAGATCCTGGGGGCGAGTCAGCCTCCAAAGCCCCAGCCTCACAAGAAAAAGCCAGAGCAGCTGGAAAAGCAGGAAGGGAAAGGGCCCACTGGTCAGACCCCGATGCTACAGCTGGAGGAACCGACTTGAATGCCTCCGTCGCCACCCCGGAAGGGGCAACCCCCCAAGCCTTCAGACGCTTAGGAGCCAGAAGCAGGGGAGGGGGGAGGGGGAATGAAACACAGCAGGGGAAGAACGAGGGGTGCGGACTGAACCAAGGCCGACATGACCAACACCCTCAATTACGGGTCACTATAAGCAAAGTAAGGCAGCGTCGGGGCAGCCTCAGGGCATCCAGGGAAGCAACCAACCTAGCATGTTGCAGCAACCTAACCTAGCCTGCAACGCGTGAGCTGCCTGCACTCGAATAACGTCATCAGTAGAATGGGTGAATTGAGTCACAAACAAGCAACAATGCTCACAGGACTCGGGGTCGAAGGTGTCATCGACCCAACAGGCAGCGTGATGGGGGCAAAAACTGAGCATTCCCCTGAGACAAGGGGACAGAGCAACCCTCAAACTCGCACAAGGTGAGAGGGGACCCAGGGGTTGCATCCAACAGACTCCAAGTGCCGAGTTCGGTGCTGTCCACGCCCAAGTGCTGAGTTTGGATGCTCAGCTCAGCTCAGTGTGTGTGTGTGTGTGTGTGTGTGTGTGTGTGTGTGTGTGTGTGTGTGTGTGTGTGTGTGTGTGTGTGTGTGTGTGTGTGTGTGTACTGTAATTAACACCATATTTACATCTTTTTTATATCATTTAATCCATTTGTATACTCAATTATGTAACCCCTTACTCATCTTTCTCTACATGTACAAATTATTTTTATATCCATTCTATAGTAAGGAGCCTCAAACTGAACTCTAAAATCAAAATAAAGCATAACAAGCTGAAGTATAACATTGGATGTTATTTTGTTATTGTTTCTAGATATGAATACCAGTACAGTATCTTATTCTAGTCCTGGCTTTTGGTAGGCAAGGGGTTGGTCTCCGAAGCCTATTACGATTAGCCAAGGTTTGGTATTACCCTAAATGCCACGCTAAAGGAATAGCTCCTTAAGCCTTAGCTTGGGGAGTTTACTACTAATACTGATACATCGGAACATCTCTATTATGAAGTACATGTGGATGGAGATATTAAATGACAAACATACTGTAAAGGCATCATGTCCCAAGCCCTGAAGAAGGAGCGTCACAACCAATACTGCTGCACGCCGGACCTCGACAGAAGTATCGTTCTTGACAATATTATACAATAATCCAAAAATCTGAAAATAAAATATATATAAATAGTTATACTACATATTTCTTGACTAATTCTGGCATAGCATATGTAGATCAAATCCATGCTAACTACTGCAGTAGTAGTATAATTTGAAGTTCACATTTAATAATGTAGCAATCAATTATTCTTTCCAAGTTCAAGAAATACTATGAAATATTTGGCTTACGCTTGTGCTGTGTTTAAATGCGAGTGGCAATTTGAAAATTAAACCCTTGCTAGTGTATCATTTTGAAAATCCAAGGGTTTTCAGAATGATACCAGTAACAGCCATGAAACCTCGGGGCAACAGAGGACCACCAGCACAACCTAGGCTTGCCTAAAAAGCAGCTAGGCCGACCACCTCCATTAACAAAATAAAAAACGATAGAAAAGAAAATAAAAACCCCAAAGGCACACAACAAATAAACTGGCAGCCAGAGAGATTAGTCAACAGGTGCGCATGTAAGCTGCGCCGGTCGCAGTGCACCCCACCCAGCCAATAACACTTCCCACTCAGGGCAAGATGGAAAGCCCAAGACCCCCCGATGTACCCCAAGGGCAGAGACAATGCCAAGTGACAAAGTCCTCAAACGGGAGTGATTCCCGAATGCCCCAGGGAAGATAACCCTGAAACACAAGGGTAGAAATTACAGAGCACCTGGAGAAGATAACCCTAGGCATATGCTGCTCCAGTACACTAAGACACCTGGCCACCAGACCACACACACAGATGGTACAGCCACACAGGGCAAAATTCTAAGGACTCCTGTGACTGATGACTACAAACTAATATAGCACACATCAGTTCGGATAGCTTCAAGGAGCTGACGGGGAGCTCCCCCCACTGAAAACCACCATTGAATGCAACTAAACGCCATTTTCTGGGCGAGCCCCGGAGGCTCCCTGAAGCTATCTTGCTGATCAGTGCCTTCTACTTGAGTGGCATCAATTGCAGAGTTCTTTGTAAGCCTACTGGGGACCATGGTCCAGAACCTGGCCCCCCTCAGAAGATGAAGAGAGCAATGGCCATGAACACTTTACAATTAAAGTAGGTCATCTTGCCATCGACCGGAGAAGGACCCAGAAACATAGGTGAAGCAAAACAGACCACTGTCTGGTTAAAAATTGCAAGCTATTTCCTCACAAGTGCAAAAGAACTCTGCCAAGAAGCAAACAAACCAGCAAAACATTGTCCAACTAACCCAGCTTGTTAACTCCAGGGAAGGAGCCGGACTGTGTAGGTCTGGCCGCCAACCTCCAGTTCTTTGAATAAAAACTGCATACTGGAGGAAGGGCGGGTGTTAGGGAGACTCTAGGGTTCATGCAGAAACTGGAGTTTCATTACATTCAATGCTGGTTTACTGGGGAACAGCCCCATTGGCTCCCTGAAGCTATCTACCCACAGAGAAAGAAAACAGGGAAGAACCCTTGCGGAAACCTTGCAGTGCTTCCGGGGCTTAGCGTCCCGGAAGCACGGGGCTTAGCGTCCCACGGAAGCAACCAGGAGGCCCGGTCGTCGACCAGGCCTCCTGGTTGCCGGACTGATCAACCAGGCTGTTGGACGCGGCTGCTCGCAGCCTGACGTATGAGTCACAGCCTGGTTGATCAGGTATCCTTTGGAGGTGCTTATCCAGTTCTCTCTTGAACACTGTGAGAGGTCGGCCAGTTATGCCCCTTATGTGTAGTGGAAGCGTGTTGAACAGTCTCGGACCTCTGATGTTGATAGAGTTCTCTCTCAGAGTACCAGTTGCACCCTGGAGGCAGCAGCCCCGCAGAACGCAGCCCAACAAACACAGCCAGTCGCTATATAAACAACACAAAAGCAACACAAAGCAGCACAGGGCTTGGGACGGTCACGAGAGACCCGGAAGCCAAGAGCGTGACCGACCCTCAAAACCCACGAGCCCGAAACCGTCTAAAGATAACTGAAAGAGCGGCACACTTTCGAATAACATGGACAAGAGGGTAGACCGCAGGATGGTTAGACTTAAAGACACTACTGTACTTACAACCTGAGACACAAGAGCCCTGGAACTGAAAACCAAGGAAGCCTGAGGAATCCAGAGCGTGGCTACTGACACAGAACCGGTGATCCACCAGAAGCGCCATATATCCACCACAGGACACAACACGTGATACTCCCTCGGCCTAACCAACCAAGCATCCCCAACCAACGCATCTCCCCAGAAGCTCGCCACCACATTCTTTGCTGAAAAAGAAGGAGAAGGTAGCAAATGAACAAAATGACCCACCAAAAACAAGCACAAATGATGGACCACCACAAACCAAGGTGAAGAAGAAAGGAAAGATTACGGTCCAAAAACCAAGAAGGCTCAGGCAGCACAAGAGCAAACCGTAGGTGAAAATGCCTGCGAAAGCTAGCTGAACAGAACGGAAGGGACATCCACCCCCCAAACGCAAACCGCAGCGGCTCCACCAACACCACACAACACGAAGCGACAGTATTCGACAGGAGATGCAAACCCAGGAAAAGCCAAGAAAGTAAAGACAAAACAACATGGTTCTACTCCGACAAAGAAAAAGGCAGAGAGACCACCAAGAGGGAGCCAGGTTCTGGCTTATGGTCCCTGGTAGGCTTACAAAGAACTCTGCGACTGATGCCACTCAGGTAGAAGGCACTTGATCAGTGAGATAGCTTCAGGTAGCTGAAGGGGCTCCCCCAGATACTACTATTGTCACGTGAATTCCCCGCATAGCAGTAGAACTGCCTTTTCCCTTTACCTTCAATGCCTCTGCACTGGAAGTATACATCTACACCAGCCCAGATGAGTCATCAGTCCTGCCACCTCTCCATACCCCCCAGGGCCTGGCACGGCCTGGCACGTCTCAGAGGCAAGCTGGGTGCCTCTGCTAACCAGTAGTTTGCCCCCACAAACAAGCAGTTAGCTGCCTTCAACTGACAGTGGTGCAGCTCAACACAAAGGCACCGCCAGCCACAACGAGCAGTTTGCTAGTTGACCAGATGTCCACCTCGCGTTGACACCGGATAAGTCATCACCACCGGACTATATAAAGGACCGCTGCCTCCCTGGAGAGCCAGTCTCTCTCTTAGTGCTCTAGGATCACCTTCGTGTCTCTCACCCGTCGTCCACCTTCAGCCAACGTCGTGTGACTGATGCCATGGTGGTATGGTAGCTGTCTTCAGTACACCAGTATATCTTTATGCTTTGTATTAGTTAAACTTTCATTTACTTATTTGATTTGCTATATAATAATAGCCAAGTATTGTCATGTGCCATTTTTGTTCATTAATATTTCAGTAAATTGGTTTAATTATTTATTTGATGATTTTCATTTGTTTCCACCTGCGACTTAAACACTGTAAGGCCAATAGTAGCATATTTTTTATTTCTGTGAGGGAGAGCCAGACCACCTTGGTTCTGTATAGCTGCGATACCACAACCCGTCACATTATCTAAACAGTCAACAAGAGACACAAGTTAGGTAAGTCTAGAGAGAAAAAAAACAGTCTTAGGTAAGCCTAGCGAGAGAGACAAGTCCTAGGTAAGCATAGGCAAGACTAGGGTTCTGACTCAGGAAGCCTCAAGGAACTTTGCCTTATAAAATTATCTAACCTCATGGACAACAGGTCCTAGACTAAAATGTAGTAACTTGCAGACATCACCCAGTCCTGAAAGACTTGCAGCTCGCACAATGCCTTCTTCATCTCTAATGCCTGAAAATAAAGACAAATAATATCAAGTAAAAGTTTGTAAAATTATTAATTTTACTGAGGAAATAATCTAAGGAATCAACATATCAATTAAACCAATTTACATTTTCATCACCTCTAAATTCCTTAGGTAAATTCCTGTGAACATAGGAATTTACAAATACTCTATTATATTAAAGTTCATTATATCAAATTAGAAATGTTCTCAATAAAAACAATGAAGGCTAAGAGGGATTATGTGTAAGAAAGTGGGTAGTAACTGTGAAGCACACATGGAATACAGCAAGGGACTAGGCTAGGTGGAAGCAGCTTGTAAGGAGTGCGTGTAATTGTTTGTACTGTACACTGTATAACAATTCACAAAGACCTTTACACCTGTCATATGAAGTGATGGATGCTGCTGTGAATGACTACTAGTGATGGATGTTTATCCACGATTCTATAAACTGCAAATATCTTATGGAACAAGGTCTCGATATAACCAAGGATGCCTTAGTTTACTGGACTGAATTGATGTAGTCACTCTAGAACTCTGTACACATGACTGATGCCAAAGTCTAACATTAGCATATCAGCCTGGTAAGCTCCGGGAAGCCGTAGGGGCTCCCCCCAGAAAAACTGAGAAATGGCAATGGGATGATAAAAACTCCCGAAGGAGGCAAAAAAAATTTCCCAAAAAGCAAGCGCACACTCCCAGGCACATGTAAACTATAAAGAACTATAAAAAAACTCACCATTAAGGAGGGAATTAATAAAAAAGTCTTTGTAGTGTGGAAGCAATGTTCCCAGGCGTCTTGTAGCTCTAGTCAGCACTTCTGCTAACTTTGCGCGGTCTTCCACACAACGATTACCAAGGCTGAATTCTTGCGTGAGCATTTTTACTACCTGCAATAAGTAAATAATTATAAAAAAAAGAAGTCCCCAAGCCAGAATGACTATGTAGCACTATCTGCAATAGATAGTTGATATATCAATTACCTTATTTGAGTAATGAAATACCTGCTTGATACTTGCTTGATGGGGGTTCTTGGAATTCTTCTACTCCCCAAGCCCAGCCCGGGGCCAGGCTAGACTTGTGAGAGCTTGGTCTACCAGGCTGTTGCTTGGAGTGGCCCGCAGGCCCACATATCCACTAGAGCCTGGTTGGTCCAGCACTTCGCGGAAGAAAACTATCCAGTTTTCTCTTGAAGATGTCAACGGTTGTTCCGGCAATATTTCTTATACGTACTGTACTTGCTGGATATTGAACAACCGTGGACCTCTGATGTTTATACAGTGTTTTGGTATTTGGCCTATGGTACCCATACTCTTCACTGGTTCTATTCTGCATTTTCTTCAATATCGTTCACTCCAGTATGTTGTTATTTTACTGTGTAGATTTGGGACCTGGCCCTCCAGTATTTACCATGTGTATATTATTTTGTATCTCTCTTGTCTCATTTCTAATGAGTACATTTGGAGAGCTTTGAGACGATGCCAATAATTTGAGACGATGCCAAAATGCCACCAAGGAACTCCCACAGAAACTAACACTGAAAGTAATGAAATGTCTCTTCTTGAAGAGCCCCGATGGCTCCCCGACTCTCCCTCCACATCAGTTATGTCAGTTCATAGTGTATCGGCTCTGGACTGACCTGGGGCCAGGAGGGTGGTAGCCACTTGCATTGAAGGGTTTGAGCTAGTTTGAATATTTTGCAGTCATTTTGCTGTTTCAATACTGCATTTTCTATGAACCTTGCAGTTTGCCTGTATTGCTGCACTAACTTACTGGATGCTTTCCAGGTGTGGATAAGCCAAACACGACTCCTGCAACTGATGTGACCCATTAGTGGGATGCCATCCCAACAAGATGGCTCCAGGGAGCCCACTAAGGCTGTACTAGAAAGTCATTTCATTACTTTCAAGGATGATTTTTACACTCAAAACAAATGGTGTATTCTTTGTTACAACCTGTAAAATTATCTTCTCTATAAATGCTAAATTGATATGCAGCAATGTATATATCCAACATATATCCAATGATTATGTAGAGTTACAGTAATAGAATGTATAAAAGAAGTGTTGCATACAGTTTTCATGAAATTCTATAATTACCCCACAATAAACAATACAATAAGTAGTTAAATATAAAAATTAATCATGATAAAAAAGTTTAATAGCCTTACCTTATCTGGGAAAGCATCACACATCACTGCTAAGCCCTCAATAGCCATCAAATACAAATAAGAGTCTTCTTCTTTCAAGTTATGTTGGAATATTAAGAGGAGTTGGTCTTTGTGAGACAATGTTTCCTCATCTCGCTTCTCAACCAGCTTGGCCAGAGCCAACAGAGCATGTCCACGTACTGGAAGCAATGGGCTGAACAAGTCATTCATAGTCTCTTTATATGAGCTCTCTTTCCCAGCACAGTTCATATTTATTTCTTGATCAATTTCATTGCCATAATTAACTTGTAAATTTAAAAAAGTATCTGCATTATTTGCCTTTGAATCAGTATTAATACCAGAGTCTTTATTTATTTTCATATTCTGGCTATTTACTACTGTGTTGTGTGATGCAGAGCTATCAAAATGCTTCTTAACATTGTCACTTGATACATTTCTGGAATTCTTAGCACTTCCTATATTTCCAGGATAACTGTTAACAGCCCCATGAGTTAAAACAAGACTTCTCAATTGTTCAACAAACATAAGAACAGTTTCAGTTCTTCTATTTTGCTCTATTTTTTCTAAGGATGGTAAGATAGATTTTAAACCTCTCCAGTCTTCACTTGTCATTTTCTTTCTTAATGTACGATCACTCACATAGCATGAAACTAACATCAAAACATTAATAATAAGTGAAATTTGTATGTCTTGCAAGTGCTCCTCCTCACACTTCTGGCAGCCTACATTAATAAGCATGTCAATAACTGGCACAGCAGCAGACAAGTTCATGAAGAGATCACTTGTCAACTGTTCATTCTCAGACAAATGTGTTAAAAGATTACAACATATAACAATGTGTTTCACTGTTTTTATCTGACTTGCTTTTACATCTTCATTTGTGATGAGAGTTCTATATGGTGTTTCATCATTTTTATTTAGTGTAGTAAAATCTATACACGATGCCAACTTTTCATAAAACAACAACACGATTTCAGAATGTTTTAGCGACGCCAAAATAGAAATAAGGCAAGTGCATATATTTTCATCTTCCAAATTATTGTTATGGAGAGATTCTACAAGAACATTGATTTTAACACCACCATCATCATCGACAGAAAATTTTATGGCTGGGTTTACAGGTGGAGACTCGGCACAAATTTTCAGACCGGAGAGTACAAGAAGACCCTCGACAACATTCTCCTTTGGCAGTGATGAGAAATACCTGAAACATTTGACAAATACTGTATAAACAATATTCTGTAATTGATACACAGTAGTTAAAACAAATATACTTAATTAAACCTATTTATCTATTCAAATCACCAACACAGTCTTAATTTTGCTTATCCAACTCCTGATTCAGATATATGGTGCAAAGCCTCTTTTAAAGGCTTTGCACCGCACTACTAGGGCTACTGCACTAACCCTCTTTTCCCAAGGAGGGGAAGGTAGCACATTCTAGCATGCACTAGTTTTACTAATTTATTGTGGTTTATATTGTTGGGGAAGTTCTTTGGGCAGTTTTGATGATGCGGTCTCGTTTGTAACCATGCAGTGGTCTGTTTTGTTTTGCTGACTTTCTAGGTGCTTCCCTGGTGGTTGTAGATATGAAAAACTTTAAATGTAAGATTTTCATAAAGTCACCGCTCCCTGCGCCTCTCTGAGGGGACCACATTCTGGCTCATGGTCCCCCAGTAGGCCAATAACAACTCTGCAACTGATGGCACCTAGTAGTATGGCACTGTATCAGTGTAACAGCTTCAGAGAGCCTCAAGGGGCTCTCCTCAGAAAATCATATTGAGTAAATAACAAAACACGGGTGAATTTATGTCACTAGTAAAATGGGGCCTCGTAGCCTGGTGGATAGCGCGCAGGACTCGTAATTCTGTGGCGCGGGTTCGATTCCCGCACGAGGCAGAAACAAATGGGCAAAGTTTCTTTCACCCTGAATGCCCCTGTTACCTAGCAGTAAATAGGTACCTGGGAGTTAGTCAGCTGTCACAGGCTGCTTCCTGGGGGTGGAGGCCTGGTCGAGGACCGGGCCGCGGGGACACTAAAGCCCCGAAATCATCTCAAGATAACCTCAAGATAACCTAGTGTTCTGTGTACACCAGTCACCAATGTATATTAATTAATACACTAGTGAATTTATGTACTGTATTAGACTAGCATGAGTAAGAGGTATCTAGAATCTAAAGATATTAAATTTTGTAATGGTCATGGCCTCAGCCACTTTGAATTTGAATTCTCGACTGTACTAGCCACGAACCACGTATACGAATCACTCACCGAAGGATAATCTGTCGTGCCAGTGTACGAAGGTAAGTGGTGGCCAATGCAGCAATCATTACCAATGGGTTAAGGACAGGACGAAGAAGATTAGTGAAAACTGTGCTTGAAGAAGGGATCTCCACAAATATCTTGTAAATTCTACTGACACCAGCTGTGAGGTTTGAGTTTTTACACAAACTGTAAAGAAATAAAACTCATTTTAAGTTCTAGGCTCTATATTAGTATTTATCACTAAATAAATTTTCATTGCATCCAATCAAAAGTGGTCTTACCAGGTCATCACATCTCAAGATAAGGAAAATGTGTTGACTACAAAGTGTGGAATGATAATAGGGGTACTGCAATACATGGCATGGAGTTGGTAGAGGTGGCAGTAATGGTGGTTGTGGTGGTAGTTGTGACAGTATTGGTGGTGGTGGTGGTGGTAGTTGTGACAGTATTGGTGGTGGTGGTGGTAGTTGTGACAGTAATGGTGGTGGCATCAACCATTGGCATCAACTGATGCCAAAGTTAGGGATATCCTTATCAGCCTGAATAGCTCTGGGGACATTCAATCAAGGTTCCACAGTACTATTTTTATTATTCTAATGTAACAAATTTTGTTATAAAATTTATAATTTACCATGGTGCATCTGGAAGAGTGGTGTTTAATAGTGGCTGCAGCAATGGGTTGATGATATGGATGGCTGTCAGTGTCGCAGATCTCTCAGCTAGTTTTGCCACAATTAGTACCACTACACGAAATATATCTGGCTGAACACTGTCCTGCTCAATCAATTCCAACAACTGAAAATAACTGTTAAGATTAAAGCACCAACAAACAAGATAAACATTATTTTTTCTTAAACAAAAGCTGTCTCATTATAAAACTGTAAAAGTAATCTACACTAATAATGAATATATTGTTAATATGACATGCTTATAAAGGAAAAACATTTGTTCTGAGGGGCAAATTAACACACACCTGAGGCCCCAATGTAGTAAAAAAGAGATCTACATCCCTAATTTTACACTGGGCAATGAGAACAGCAATTGCGTCGTGGAGCTGCCAATCCTGCTTGTCACTGATAGCAAGACCAGCACTCACCACTGCACCAACACCCCCTGGCTTCATCAAGAACCTGCGTAATAAAAGCGATCTGCATACCTTCCCTAGCCACATGTCACCCTGAAAAAGTTATTAATTAGGATTTATACGAAATTTGTGATTATAATTATACATTTATTATACTCCACCCAGTACTTATTTCTCTCTTTACTTCAGCTTTTCTATATAATCAACTTTTTGTTTATATGAAACATCTTTTTCTTAACCCTTGGGCAGTGCCCCTGTTTAAACAAGACAGAGCAGAGGAAAATACCCAGCATTGAATGTAATGAAACGCCATTTTCTGGGTGAGCCCCGGAGGCTTCCATGGAGCTATCAGGCTAATATGTGAATCATTAGACCAAGGCATTATTCTATGGAGTTCTGCCTACCGGGGACCACTAGCCAGAACATGGCCCCCTCTGAGAGGCGCAGGGAGCAATGGCCCTTCCTTCTTCCTTGGCTCCCTGTTCCAAGGGTCATGTTTCTCAGGTCATCCGCAGTGTTATTAAGTCCAGCCACCCTCGAGTCTACCCTCGTGTGCATGATGTTCATAAGAATGCTATCGTTGCAGTCTTTTCTAAGAATGTCCTGGGGTGATATTAGGTGCTGGGGTTGTGGTAGTCAAACATGGTTTTGGCAGCCCAGTTAATGTCCCCAGGGCTCATTATGCCTGGATTGCCTTGGGTAATCTCTCTCGTCCAATTGTCTATTCTAAGTCTTGAATATCTGCCATTTCCCCTCCTCTCTGGTAAGTCCCTTGTTTTTCTCCAGAAAACCAGCATAGGATGTAATGAAATGTCTCTCCCTGGATGAGCCCCAGTCACTCCCTGATTCCCTCCCTCCTTTCCTTGCCGGAGGGAGGAAACCTTGCTTGCTTGATACCTTGTTGCTTTGAGTGTCCTGCAGGCCCACATACCCACACAGCCCGGCTGGTCCGGCACTTCTTTTAGAAAACCAACTAGTTTTCTCTTGAAGATGTCCACAGTTGTTCCCACAATATTTCCTATACTCGCTATGAGGATATTGAACAACCGTGGACCTCTGATGTTTACAGAGTGTTTTCTGATTGTGCCTATGGCACCCCTGCTGTTCACTGGTTCTATTCTGCATTTTCTTCCATATTGTTCACTCCAGTATGTTGTTATTTTACTGTGTAGATTTGGTACCTGTCCCTCCAGTATTTTCCATGTGTATATTATTTGATATCTCTCTCGTTTCCTTTCTAGTGAGTACATTTGGAGAGCTTTGAGACGATCCCAATAATTTAGGTGCTTTATCGCGTCTATGTGTGCCGAATATGTTCTCTGTATTCCCTCTATTTCAGCAATCTCTCCTGCTCTGAAGGGGTAAGTGAGTACCAAGCAGTCCTGAAGACAGGACAGCACAAGTGATTTAAATAGTACAACCATTGTGATGGGATCCCTGGATTTGAAAGTTCTCGGGCTGCGTAATCCATCCGATCATTTTCTGGCTGACGCAATATTTGCTTGGTTATGCTACCTAAACTTTAGGTCGTCTGACATCATTATTCCCAAATGCTTTACATGCTATTTTCCTACTATGGCAGATTTTATTGTGTTTTGTACCCTGTATCATGTTTAAAATACTGTACTCAATTTTACCATACCCGAGTACAGTACTGTACAGTACTTGGAATTTAACACTGTTAAACATTATGTTATTTTCTGCTGCCCAGTCAAAAACTTTATTAATATCTGCTTGTAATTTTTCAATGTCTTCAGCAGAGGTAATTTTCATGCTGATTTTCGTGTCATCTGCAAAGGATAACACGAAGCTGTGACTTGTATTTTTGTCTATATCTGATATGAGAATAAGGAAAAGCAGTGGTGCAGGGACTGTACCCTGAGGTATAGAGCTTTTTACTGCACTTGGACTTGATTTTAATTAATTGACTGTTACTCTCTGTATTCAATTCAACTGGAAATTAAGTATCCACCATCCTACTTTACCAGTTATTCCCACTGACCTCATTTTGTGTGCTATCACTCCATGGTCACATTTGTCGAATGCTTTTGCAAAGTCTGTGTATACAACATCTGCATTTTGCTTTTCTTCTAAAGCTTCTGTGATTTTGTCATAGTGGTTGAGTAACTGTGACAGACAGGATCTTCCCGCTCTAAATCCATGCTGTAGCTCATTATTTTCCATAAAACTAGAAAGCTGATTCTTAATCACTCTTTCAAAAACATTTATTATGTGTGATGTTAGTGCAACTGGTCTATAATTTTTTGCCAAAGCTTTACTAACCCCATTGTGCATAGGAGCTATATCAGCAGATTTAAGGGCTGCTGGTATCTCCCCTGTATCCAAGCTCTTTCTCTATATTACACTGAGTGCTCGCGCTACTGGTACTTTACATTTCTTTATGAATATTGAATTCCATGAGTCAGGCCCAGGGGCTGACTTCATGGGCATGTTGTCAATTTTTCTTTCAAAGTCTTCTGAGTTTGTGTTAATATCTGTTATATTATCTGCAGCGTGGATGTCATTCATAAAGAAGTTATCTGGATCTTCAACTTTCATGTTGTTTATTGGGGTGCTAAATATAGCCTCATACTGGCTTCTTAGAATTTCATTAATTTCTTTGTTGTCCTCTGTGTACGTACCTTCAGTTGTAAGTAATATAATCGGATTGTAGGTTGGTGTTCATAATCTTTACATCTACCCCAGAACACACTTCCAAGGCTTGGGAAGACCTGAAGCCCTGGCCACTAGTTTGGAGACATTCAGCCATTTGTTTACATTGTTTGGGGAGTTCGTTTGGCAGTCTGGATTCTTCAGTTTCTTAAACCCAGTAATGGTCTGTATTGTTTCACTGACTTTCTGGATACTTTCTCAGTAAGTTAGTGGAGTGTCCCCCACTATCTGTGCCTCTATAAAGGGGTCAGGTTCTGGCTCATGGTCCCCAGTAGGGCAAACAGAATGCCATCGATGATGTGACCTAGTACTGTAGTTGGGAGCCATCTCAGTGAGATACCTTCAGGTACCCACTAGTGGCTCATCTAGTAAGAGGTGTTTCATTACATCAACACTGTTTTGTGCACCTCTGATGCAAATAAAAAACAAATCATTTTTTTGGCAAAAATAAATCATTAAATCATTGGCATGTGGCCAATGGTTAATTAAAAATATGCATATTCATAAGAATTCAAGAAATTCCATAACAGCATGCAATTTTTGTCTCATTTCCGTCTTCTCAGGACCCCAAAATTTCCTACTCAACAGTATCGAGACATGGCTTGGACAAGTTACCTTGACTATACCCAACAATAAAAGCAGATGTTGCAGAATTAGGCTAGTGTTCATAGTGGTCATGAGAGTTTCAAGTTGCTCCCTGAAGAAAGCAGTATCATCTGGAAAGCTCTTAACTTCTGCAGGACAAAAACAAAGCTCCAGTACAGCACTCAAAATCTCGGGGAAGAGAGATCGCCTGAGGCCAACTCCCAGTGACTCGTGCTGATGAAGGAAAGATGCATAAACTTAGTTAACATTTACATAATATTAAATTTTGTTCCAATATAAAAACAGGAAGCATAACTAAGACCAGAAATCTCAGTACATGTTTATCTACCCTTATTTTATATCATACTGTATTAGTCCAGGTTGAAAAGAATAGAAGCCACCATAAGGGCCCTCTCATCATTTTTTCCAAAATGCCCTTGACTTTTATTAACTTTACTATTTAAACTATAAATACATGTTATACTTTAAGATCCAATTTAAAAAACCAGCATTGAATGTAATGAAACGTCATTTTCTGGGTGAGTCCTCGAGGCTCCCCGGAGCTTACTAGGCTGATATGCTAATGTCAGACTTTGGCATCAGTCATGTATATGGAGTTCTTATGGGCCTACAGGGGACCACGAGGCAGAACCTGGCCCCCTCTAGAGAGAGGCAAGGGGAGCAATGGCCTATAGAAACCCCCCGTGTGATTGGAAGCATTCTATATCTGCCATCGACTGGGTTAGGCACCCAGAAAGGTAGGCGTCCCAAAACAAACCCCTATTCTAGGTGAAAATTGCAACCAAAAGCCGCACAAGTGGATAGAACTACCCAAACAAAAACGAACAAACTAGTATGACTTCACCCGTTGTCACGCCGCTGTCTGTGCAGCTCTCCCCTCCCCGGGAGGGGGTAGGGGGAGCCCCAGACCCACCGTGCCAGTGATCCACACCCCAGTTCTGAGGCTGGATGTCAAAATACGTGAAAAAAATGCCGACCGGAGGGAGGGAGGGAGGGAGGGAGGGAGGAATGCCGAGGAACCTCCGGGACTCACCCACAAAATGGCGTTACATTACATTCAACGCTGGTTTTCTGGGGGGAGCCCCTATGGCTCCCCGGAGCTAACTACCCACAGATGAAAGAATAGGGACTTACCCGGGAGGCAGTTGCTGCTCACTCCTCAACCCAAAGTCGAGACAACTGGCTGCATCCACCGACCCAAAGCAACACAGGTCCGACTGGGCCCAGGAATGTTTACAAGGTAATGAGCAGCCAGGTCCCTGTTCGACCGCCCAAATCCCCATGCCCGAATGTCAGCCCAGGCCATATTGCCAAAGACAACGGGAAGAGCTGCAAACTTCAAAGAGCTGCTACCCAACACCACTGGAGGCTGTGCGAAATGACCCGAAACGCCCACAAATCATGGGACCAGGTGTGAGCGAACAGCGCAAGCCTCCCCCCCATCGCCACGTCGATGGGGCGAATGGCGAAAGGGCCGGTGCCTTTTACGAGACCCAGAACCTCGCACAGAGTGAACACCGTGCCGACCAGACGAAGGCGGGGGTGCAAAGGAGGAACCAAATCCCGAACCTGACACCAGTGGCCTACCACGACTGGAGGAACCCCGAGCCTTGGCATGACCCTTCCGGGAAGGCTCACCATGGGACCCCCGGAGAACCAGCAAGTCCGACATAGGACGGCAAGAAGCTGAAGCAACCTGAATATACTGCGCAACGGCGGAAGCCTCAAACAAGAGAGGACAAAAAGGGGAAGACATCCTAAGACCCAAGGCCCAAGCGGATTCCACAGAGGGGGCAAGCACCGTCCGCCGACACGCAAGCCGAGAAGCATAAAACAGAGCAACCGCATCCCGCAAGATCGGTGCAAAAAGCTTCAGCAAGGCAGCCGACAAGCGAGCCGCCAAGGCCAAGGTGCCAGACCCAGGAACAGACCAAAGTGCCCCCACATCCTCCGTGAGCCAGTTGGAAGACAGCTCCAGGAGGGAAAAGAAGCACAAGGCCGCAACCAAAAGGCCCCGAGCGAGCAAGTCCTCCATCACCTGCGCCGCCGAAAGGGAGGGAACTTACATATGGAGCTGAACGACAGCAACATCCTGGGAAAGGGCAGGAGCAAACAAGCACTCATTGAGGTGCTCAAGGTCGCCCCTCAGAAAAACCTGAAGCACCGTCGAAGCCTCCTGCCACTCAAGCGTGCGGGAATGGCAGGAGTAGTGCCAAGCCTCCAAGGCAAAGACAGGACAGTCCGCCAGCCAGGACGACTCCGAAACCTTGTAACGGAGCCAGAAAGGGAACAAAGTCCCAAACCTGAAATGCCGAGGGATCCATTGCCGAGGCATAATCCGGGTCACGCAAGAGGTTCGCCGAAGCAGCCGGGGGAACACGGAACCGAACCAGGGGAGGGGCAAACACCAAGTCCAACTCGTATGCAGAGGGTGGGAAAAGAAAACCCCACTCCTTGTAACAGTAAGCCCTGCTCAGAGGGCAGAAAATCCCAATAGATGGCAGACATAGACTGCTTCCAACTACATGGGGGTGTCTTTAGGCCATTACTCCTCGTGCCTCTCTGAGGGGGGCCAGGTTCTGGCTCTGGTCCCCGGTAAGCAAGAACTCCATCGATTGACTGTTGCCACGGTCTAATATATACACATCAGCCCAGTATAGCTCCAGGGAGCCGAAGGGACACTCTACAGAAAAACTTTGAATGTTCATTTTCTCAGAGTGGTAGAAGATTGGAAGAAGTGAGATGAGAAGGTGGTGGATGGCAAGACCATCAGTTCAAGACACTTTTAAATAAGCTACAATGATTTACAATAGTTTTGAACATAATGGTTTTGGAAATAGGTACCTTCATAACAGGTAACAGAATTTTCATAATGGAAGTTAGAAGATTGTGGCAGCAACTACGGGAAACAACTGTCAAGCTTGAGCCCAGTACAAACTTTGTCTTGGCAAGCATCATTTTGACATACACAGAGGCTTCTGCATCCAGGCAACCCAGGACTACTGTATATATTATGACCCGGGAGGCATCCTCAGCCACCTGAAATAAGGTATGTTGTTTAGCTCTCAGAATGAAATTGTGATAAAAAAACAACATTGAATGTAATGAAACGCCATTTTCTGGGTGAGCCCCAGAGGTTCCCTGGAGCTTATTGGGCTAATGTATGTTATATTAGCTATGGAGTTCAGACCTCCCAGGGACCAGCGCCACAACCTGGCCCCCTTCAGAGAGGTTTCAGGGAGCAATGGCCCTGGAAAACCCCCTTGTGGTTCAGGGTTTTCCTTATCTGCCATCGACCGGGGTTAGGCATCCAGAAAGGTAGGCATAACAAAACAAACCCCACATGGTAAGAAACTAAAACAAAAAAAAGAAGAGGTAGAAACTCCCTACAATCCCAAGGAAACAAGCAAACATCACACTTTACTGCTGCGCCGATCGTCTGCGCAGCCCTCCCCGCCACAAGAGGGGGATGGGGGCGCCTGAACCTCACCGCGCCGGCTGCCTAGCACCAGTTCGTAAGCTAATGTCAACCGGGACAGGCGCTTCTCTGGCCTCAGTTTCCTAGGCAGTGTTCGCCTTTCATGGTGTTCACTGCCGTGTGTTGGGTTGTGTTGTGCAGTGGCCAGGTGTTACCTCATCAGTACTGGGGCCGCATGCGCTTAGGGGCTTCCTTCCCTAAGCGCCCTGTGAGTACTGCCCCTGCGTGACAGTGTTATCTTCCCTGGGGCGTTCGGGAAACATCGGATCAGAATTCATTTATTCCCTTTGATTGTTAATTAATTCCACACTTAACGTAAATAAGGCAACCCTCCCATATATTACTAGTGGACATCAAGCCCCAAAGTTATTGATTAGCATGATCGATCCAGACCTCGATCGATCCAGACCTCGATCATTGCTCAGTATTACTGGTCTGGTGGTGGCAGCGAAAAGGCGACCCTAGGGTTTTGCTATAAGCTTATGTCACGTCATAAGGGTTGTAGAATCTTAAGTCGGTCAATCGTCTTAAAAACACGTGGCGTGGGGTCGGCTCAAGTAAGAGTCTTGGGGTCCCTTGGTATGGAGAGTTAAAGTAGAATACGGGTAAAGAGAGGGGTAGAGACAGAACAAAGATACGAAGTACAGAACGAATACCTCCCCCGTGTTACAGTAGCAGCCTCCCACCAATCGAGCGTGGGGGTCCAACAAAACCCATGCCACACCCCCTTGTGTAAAGAAAGGGCAGTCTGCCAGCCAGGAAGACTCCGGGACTTCATAACGCACCCAATACAGGGAATAAGAACCGAACTCAAACGAGGACGGATCCATCACAGAGGCAGAACTCGGGTCTCGCAGGAGGTAAGCCGCCAAAGCCTCTCAAACCTCCTTAGGTGAGATTTGAGAGGCAGAAAGCCTCCAGAAAGAACAAGCTGAGGAACCCAAGGGAACCCGGAACCAAACCTAGAGAGGAGCTGACCCCAAATCATACTCATACAGGGAAGGGTTGTAAGAAAACTCCTCCCCTGTAATGACAAATCCCACAAAGAGGGACCCAAAACCCAAGAAGGATCAAAGGGAGTCCAAGCCCTCCCAAGTCAACTCCTCCCCCGCCTAGGAATCCTCTAAACCAGGACCAGGGGCAGAGCTGTCCTCCACGCTCTTTACCCATGAAGAAAAGGCAGAATCCAGGGAAAAGGCAGGAAAGAAGGGGGTCTGCTGGTAGGAAGAACAGGCTCGAGTGCCTCTGTCCCCCAACTTGAATGGGGCAGCCCCCGAAGCTACCGAGCCTCATCACCAACTGAACCCTGCCCCGACTCCAAAGCAACAGCTGCTCCAAGCAACAGCCTGGTGGACCAAGCTCTCACAAGTCAAGCCTGGTCTTGGGCCAGGCTTGGGGAGTAGAAGAACTCTCAGAACCCCGTCAAGAGGTATCAAGCAGATATACTCGCTGGGAGTACTGTATATCGAACAACCGTGGGCCTCTGATATTTATAGCATTCTCTGATTGTGCTTATGGCACCCCTGCTCTTCACTGGTTCTATTATGCATTTTCCTCCATATCATTCTCTCCAGTAAGTTGTTATTTGACTGTGTAGATTTGGGACCTGGTCCTCCAGTATCTTCCACGTGTATATTATTTGATATCTCTCTCGTCTTCTTTCTAGTGAGTACATTTGGAGAGCTTTGAGATGATCCCAATAATTTAGGTGCTTTATTGTATCTATGTATGCCGTATATGTTCTCTGTATTCCCTCTATTTCAGCAATCTCTACGGCTCTGAAGGGGGAAGTGAGTACTAAGCAGTGCTCAAGATGGGACAGTACAAGTGATTTGTATAGTACAACCATTGTGATGGGATCACTGTGATCATTATTCCCAAATTCTTTACATGCTGCTTTCCTACTATGGGCACATTTGATTGTGTTTTGTACCCTGTATTATGTTAAAGGTCCTCATTTTAAAGGTCCTTTACCGTACCTGAGTACCTGCTATTTATCACCATTAAACATCATGTTGTTTTCTGTTGTCCAGTTGAAAATTTTATGAATATCTGCTTGACGTTTTTCAATGTCTTCACCAGAGGTAATTTTCCTGCTTATTTTTGTGTCATCTGCAAAGGATGATACGAAGCTGTGACTTCATACCATCCTTTGTTGCTGAAGGCAGCAAAGCTTCGAAGCTGCCGAAGAAATATAAGAAAATTCACTTTCACAAAGTGGTAGACAGCTGGAACAAGTTAGACAAGGTGGTGGTAGTGGTGGTGGAGGCCAAAACTGTCAGTACTGTAGTTTCAAAGCGTTATATGACAAAGAGTGCTGGGAAGACGGGACAAGAGGAGCATAGCTCTCATCCTGTAAATATACTTTGGTTATTACATTATTGTTTTGTTTCTCCACACCACGCACACACTTACTATAGTATTTTTACTCTACATCCCACACACACTATTGAATCTTAACTAAAATAGCATACTGAGCTCCACTCTCCACAAATACTATGCCTTAAAGCTAACAGCTTTATTCTTTATGATTTTAAGGCTGTAGCTGTCTTCGACATTCTCTTGCATTATTCTCAAAGTTTTTAGTATTATTATATAAGATACACAGAATTGAAAGCAAAATTTTTGTTATAACCTTGGTCTGTTGCACACTGATGAGACTGGGAGGTGCTGAAGGAAATGGATTTTTATGTCGCCCCTTTTTGCCAGCTCCATTATCTTTCATCACCACATTTGGTACGGACTCACAAGATGCCATCTGCAACTGATTTTGAATTTCCTGCAGGATCGCAGCTGCAATGCATCCACATTCTACTCTGTAAAACCAGAGATCATAAATTTTGTAAAGAAATAACAATTTTCTAATATTTGTTTTCACCTTGAAAGAAAACTCTCTAACTGATGTTAATTAATTCAAATCATATTTACTACAGACATTGTTTTCAAATTTATTTTTCTATCCAAATTAGCCTATAAATCACAAGCATGATTGCCATGAGTTGAAAAAACAAAAATGGGTTTAACATTGAAACAAATATTACTGCAGCCACTTTGTTGATATAATACCAAAGTTCTGTATACATGTAGACTGAAAAAAACAGCATTAAATGTAATGAAACGCCAGTTTCTGGGTGAGACCTAGAGACTCCCCAGAGCTAACCGTGCTGATATGAATGTATTAGAACCTGGCATCAGTCGATGCACATGGAGTTCTAGGCCTACCTGAAACCACGAGCCACCTATCTTCATTACATTGCATTTGCTTGGGTTAAACTCTAACAACCATTTGTTCAACCATTCCTGCAGCTTGTCCAGGTCTTCTTGAAGCCTCAAGCTGTCCTCCTCTGTCTTAATCCTTCTCATAATTTTTGCGTCGTCAGCAACAATGAGAGGAATGAGTCAATACCCTCCGGGAGATCAATTACGTATATCAGAAACAGGATAGGTCCGAGTACAGAACCCTGTGGGACTCCACTGGTGACTTCACGTCAATCTGAGGCGTGAATCTACCCCAAAACAAGTCACTACAACAGCTTCCATACCTTGCTCCTTGAGCCACTGCTGTACAGGATTAATACGGTATGGCTCAATGCCTGTCTGGTAACTGGCAAAATCTCTGGTTATCTGAATTGCTGTTCGGATATGGTGAAGTTTTGCCAGAAAAATATCCAGCTGTGATTTTCACTGGATAACCCAAATAATTGGATAAGTTTTGAATAAGCACGCTCATACAGTATTTCCTATAGAATATGAGGCTTTCAAAATTTGACAAGGTGTGTTCTCTTGTAATACAATACTTATGGTATCTCATTTTGCATTCAATTTATCTTGGATGATTAGTTCATACCGAGCTAAAAACGGAAATCATGGAGTGCATCTTCCTATCACTTACCTGATATCAGATCTAGAAGTCAAATCAATGCATAACATCAGTTGTTTCACTGTTGTACGAATTCTTCTTCTTGGACCACACTCATCATCTCGCACAACAGCAGAGGCATCAGCAGTCTTACATGATGTAGTATCTTCTTGCCACAACCATAGATATTCTTTTATCTTCTTCACAACTGATTCGACTCTCTCCAATGACATCCAGCCTTGTGATCCTATAACAAATAAGTGCTAGAACATACAGCTCATACGTTCTTGTTTACAAAACATTTTGAGTGTCCCTACTACATTTGCAGTTGCTGTACTTAGTACTGTAAATTCATCCATACAGTATTTTAGGGCTGGACTATCAATATGCATATTAAACACATGCTTAGAAAACCAGCAAAGGCGTACTAAAATATAATAATAATAATAATAATAATAATAATAATAATAATAATTTATTTAGGAACAGTACATACATAGTTGCAGCATTACAGTACAAACATTCTGTTAGATTTAAAGATAGAGGTAGTACATACAATACCTAAAGCCACTAGTACGCATAGCGTTTCGCGGAAGAAGCATTTAGCTTCTTTATTTAGCATAAAGCATTTAGTGTCATGAAACATTCCCTTCTGGGTTACTTCTTGTTAACTTCCCTCAGTTTACCACACTAGGCTGTATTGAACAAGAGTATAAGTGCCAAGCTCCCAATGCCAAACTTGGCATGCCGGGGACAAGCACAATCTTTGCTTGACCCCTTATCTCTGCTGGGAAGTTCAATAAGTTCCGCATTGAACAATCTGGTAAGAAAATCAAATACAGTATGCAGAATATACATATACTGTACAGTGGAAGCTCGATTAATGAATTTAATCCGTTCCGGCACCGAGCTCGTCATGTGAAACGTTCGTCTTTCAAAACAAATTTCCCAATTTAAAATACAATGGGGCCTCGACTTACGATGCTAATCCGTTCCCAGAGACGGATCGTAAGTCGAAATATTGTAATCCGAAGCGATTTTTCCCATAAGAAATAAAGGGATTTGAATTAAACCGTTCCCCACCCTCCAAAATATTAACATACAAATACATTTTATACTGAATACAATGTTTTTTCTAACTACAATACAATACCAAAGTTTCACTTACCTTTATGGAGGGCTCTTGATGGCGTATGGAAGATGGTGATGAGGGGGGAGGAGGAGAGTTGTTACTGTTTGGAAGGGGAGTCCCCTTCCATTATCACATCAGGCAGTGATGTTTTCTCTGGGGTACTCGCTCTCCTACGTTTTGCCTGAATACCACTAGGACCTGGTTGTGGTTCAGTGCTTGTTTGTCTCACTACAAATTTGTCAAGACACATTTGTTTTTCCCTTCTTTTTAACGTTAGTCGGTAATGATGCATCACAGTGTCATTGAATAGGTTAAGGCAACGACATACTGCAGCTGATTTGGGCAAGTCGTTTCAGCAAAGGTTTGCAATTCTTCCCATATTGCACACATTTTCTTAATTTTTGAGGAAAAAACATCCTCTACTGGCACATCCTCCCCTGAAGAAATTTCCTCAGCTACCTCTTCTTGCTGCTCCTTTTGAAGGGCTTGGAGTTCTTCGGTGGTCAGTTCTTCGTTGTGTTCTTCCACCAACTCCTCCATATCAGCACCATCCAACTCCAAACCCAATTGCCGACCCAGAAAAACAATTTCCTCAACGAGAGGCACTTCAGGTTCAGGCTCAAACCCCTCAAAGTCTCGTTCTGCAACACATTCAGGCCACAGTTTTCTCCAGCCAGAGATCATGGTTCTTACAGTCACTTCTTGCCAGGCTTTGTCAACAGGTTTTAAAGCACTATAAATGTTAAAATGGTTTTTCCAGAACTCTTTGAGGGTGAGGTTTGTGGCATCCGTCACTTCGACACATCTCCGGAAAAGTGCCCTTTCATAAAGTTTCTTAAAATTGGCAATGATTTTCTGGTCCATAGGCTGAAGTAGAGGAGTGGTGTTGGGAGGAAAGAACTTTATTGTAAGAAACTTAAATTCCTCATCCAATGAATACTCCAAGCCTGGAGGATGGGCAGGAGCATTATCGAGGAGAAGCAGGGCCTTGAGTGGCAAACTGTTCTCCTGCAAATATTTTTTGATGGCAGGGCACACCACCATATTCACCCACTCCATAAAAAATTGCCTAGTTACCCATGCCTTAGCATTACCCTTCCACATCACACACATTTTGTGTTTCTGCACATTATATTTTTTTAAAACCCTTGGATTTTCAGCTTTTCAATTCATTAGGGAGTGAGTTCCATAGACTGGGTCCCTTTATTTGCATAGTGTTTACACAGATTAAGTTTGACTCTGGGGATATCAAAGAGATATTTATTTCTGGTGTGGTGATAATGGGTCCTATTACATCTGTCCAGGGAGTTTCAGATTCAGCAGGATTTGCATTTAAGAACAGGGTTTTGTATATGTAGTTGACACAAGAGAATTTGTGGAGTGAGATTATGTTTAGCATGTTTAGGGAGTTAAACAAGGGGGCTGAGTGTTGTCTGAAAGCAAAATTTGTTATTATTCTGATAGCAGATTTTTGCTGGGTGATGATGGACTTGAGGTGGTTTGCAGTGGTTGAACCCCATGCACAGATACCATAATTAAGATAGGGATAGATTAGTGCATAATATAGAGATGAGAGCAGAGTTAGGTACATAATATCTGATTTTGGAGAATATACCAACTGTATACCAATATATTGACATGTTCCTATAATTCCTGGGTTCAGGGACTGGCTAAATTCCACTGTGGGGGCTTACTGCTTCAGGGCTCTCCCCTTCAACTTGAAATCTTGAACCGTGTTTGTTTACTAGGTTAGTGCATGTTGTTATGGCCTGGCTACAACTCTTAGGGGTTAGTGTATTGACCTACCTCAACAACTGGCTGGTGTGAGCCTCCAGTTAGTCCACATGTCAGCTAGCCAGAGATCTGGTTCTTTACCAGTTCACTAGGTTCAGGTTCTTGGTGAACTGGAGAAAATCCAGTTACTTTTATCCTAGGTTCGGACTTGGCTGAGCTTAGTTTAGGATTTACGATTTATTTTTCTGTGTCTGCTGGTGGAGGCTTTGCTCCACCTGCAAAGTCAAACGAGCATGAAGTCACCATGGCAACATGGTGACTTCATGCTCGTTTGCGCGGTGAGTTCTGTCCACCAGTTCAGCTTTCAGTCACAATTTCTTAACCAGAATAGGGATTTGTTTTGGGACGCTTATCTTTCTGGGTGCCTGACCCAGTCGATGGCAGACATAGAATGTTTCCAACCACATGGGGGTTTCTATAGGCCATTGCTTCTCATGCCTCTCTGAGAGGGGGCCAGGTTTTAGCTCATGGTCCCCGGTAGACCTAAGAAGTCCATTCACACTGATGCCAAAGTCTAATATAGTAATATCAGCCTGGATAGCTCCGTAGGGGCTTCCCCCCAGAAATGTACATAGTTATATACATATGTATATTGTGTAATAACGGCAAAAACACTGGTTTTGGAAATAATTTATTTTCAATGCACCATGAGGATGTCACATTTTAATGCAGTGCAATGGTTAAAGCATAGTTTACATTAAATACAATTTTCTCTAAAGAGAGAAAGATATTGATAAACTACTAGCATCACTCACAAACTGGGATTTTGGAATGCAAGAAAATTTGATGAGAATCAAAATCTTGGAATAATAATTATACACATATCAAACTAAGTAAAATAAGAATGGATGTTTAAAACAGTTCCTTCATAAGTGAATAGAAGTAACTTACCTAGTTTACATAAATCATTTAGACAGTGAAACAAATCTGCATAACTCATAGCTGAGGCTCAATTATTAATTTATATTCTCTTCTTGCAAATAACTGTTTGCTTACAACTTCTTGTTCTTTTATTTCCTGTAAACATGCAGATCAATTCTTCATCAGTCTCCTCACTCTGGTACTTCCTTTCCTTTCCTTTGAGAGTTTAAGCACCAAGAATATCTCCGTCTGAACAATAACACAACTGCAGGGCTCTCTTCTTGTCAGACTAAAACCATGACTGCAACAGAAATTATGATTATTTAAATATCACTGATAAGGATTATTTTGATAAGACATTGCAATGCTATTTCAGTATCATCTCTAATAGATCTCTAAAGTCATAATTGTAGCAAACAAATTATTCAGAAGAATTTAGGTGGGAAATAAGGGTATACAGAATCGACTCGATTTAATGACCTACATGAGGATGTACCCAGGTCATTAATTCTGGGGGTCCACTAAATCCAGAGGTTTTAAAATACAGTATCCGTAACTGTTTAGTCATATTTCTGCCCGAAACGCAACATGTACTAGTGGCTTTACAAGAATGTTAACACCATGCTATGTATCCTCACAAACTCAATGTACCTTCTTGTATATAAATAAATAAATAAATAAATAAATAAATAAATAAATAAATAAATAAATAAATAAAATAAATAAATTTGGGAGAGCAACTGGCTGACTGACTGGCTGGCTGGCTGACTGGCTGGTTGGTTGGTTTATTGGGTTTGTGAGAGTACATAACGTTGGTGTTCTGTAAACATCAGACTCATTCTAAACTGACTTCCCCATTCTTAATCCTTTTGTACCATGCTCTCTTTCTACCTATACGGTTCTTCAGATCCTTTGTTATCCATTTCGGCTCATTAGTATTCGATCTATTCAATTTGAATGGTATACTACATTCTTGTGCTTTGTTTAGAATGTTTTTAAATAAGTTATATTCCAAATCCACATCAAAATCCCCCATTATATCACCCATCACTGGGTTCACGTCTCGCTCCAACACCGGCCCAACCACCATGCCCAAGACTTTCCAATCTATTTGACCCAAAAATTTCTTAGGCTATTAAAATCAGCTTTTCAAAAATCTGGCATTAACAGAATTTTCTCCAACATAGCTATTCCAATCTATGCTAAATCTGATGTCCTTGTGATCACTGTTCCCTAATTCACTCCCTATTTCGATGTCATTAATTTGTGTTTCCCTGTTAGACAACACTAAATCTAAAATATTTTCCCGCGTTAGTTCCTTAATGTGTAGAGTAAGAAAGCAATTGTTAATTCTAGAAAATCTTCTGCTTCATTATTCCCTGTTCTGTTAAACCAGTTTATTCCACTAAAATTAAAGTCACCCATGACACAAATACTGCTAGACTTTGATGCTCTAGATATTTCATTCCATAGATGCTTGCTTCCATCCTAAGTTTGGTGGCCTGTATATAACTCCTATTATAATATTATTGGCTTTTTCGTTAATTCTATCCAAATAATTTCTGTGTGTGGCTCAGTTTTGATTCCCTCTTTGAGACTACATTTCAAATTGTCCCTAACATATATGGCTACTCCCCCTCCTCGTCTAATATGTATATCTGTCTGAAATAGTTTAAATCCATTTATTTGATATTAAGCTAATAATTCTCTATTTTCTACAATCATCCACGTTTCGGTAAGTGCAATAATATCTATTTTTTCTGATGAATCACATAAGATTCATCACTTTCTTTACAACACTTTCCATTATTACTATGATAGCACAATGAGAGCTGCAGGTAGCACACCCTCTCACTGTGAATGCTGCGTCTCACTGTAGATTGATTGATAAAGATTAAGCCACCCAAGAGGTGGCACGGGCACGAATAGCCCGTAAGTGGTGGCCCTTTTGAGCCATTACCAGTATCAAGAGATGATACTGGAGATCTGTGGAGGTGCGACTGCACCCTGCGTGACGGGAGATGTCTCCCGTCGACCAAATGGTGTAGATACTCTATCTCCTCTACTACAAATGGTGTAGATACTCTAAATGGTGTAGATAGATACTGTATGTACACCATTTAGAGCGGCCACCAAGAAGAGGTGTGTGTGAGGGACTCACCTAGAGGTGAGGGATAGATGTTCATGATAATGACACGAAGTGTAAACTATGTGGTATGTTAAGGTCTCACACCCTGGCCCATTATGTTCTTGATTGTCCGTTGATTAATGTATATAGAAACACTGAGATAAGGACTGTTCCTGAACAAATAGCCTGGATGTGTCACAACGGCAAGGTTGATGATATTAAAAAAAAAAATAAATAAAATGTTTATTTAGGTAAGGTACATACATACAAGAAATTTTTACAAAGATTGGTTGACTTATAGGTAGAGCTAGTACATACAATGTCTAAAGCCACTATTACGCAAAGCGTTTCGGGCATATTCTTGAGAGATATAAGAATTTTGCACTAAGATTGTAATATTTTGTTGAATTATCTGCATGTCTCTTGCAAATTGTCTATACAGTATAACTAGGTCATAAAAGTATTTGTGTGTACGTCTGATAACATACTACTTGTGAAGGAGGAAATGTATATGTTTATCTCTCAGAATGTTTGGTAATATGTTTATTTGTGATGTGTGTCTATGTATATATTAACACGTTGTACTGAATGGGGTGAGAATAGCTTGAGCTACCTCATCCCTTTGTGTGTATTTTACCTCAATAAACTTATTTCAATTTCAATTTCACCTCACTCCAGGACGACATGTTGTGTTTACAGCGTCAGCTGATCAACGCTCCCCCTACTACACCAAATGTACCTACTACACACACATTTGTACCATTTCGGACACAATATTTGTACGTTTCGTACATATATAATTGCGCAATATTAAAACCACAATATAATGTTATTAACAGTTAAACTCTTGTACTTAACAGGCATATAGTTATTATATGACGTTTAGTGATGTGATAAACATAATCCGGGCGTTGTAAGAACCTTCCCCGACAGCCTGTTCTTGTTGTTTTAGATTAATTTATTTTAAAGTGGGGCTACCCCCTTCACTATTATAGCAAGAGCAGATAAAGATAAAGATAAAGATAGATCACGACTATTGATAGTCGGCGAGTTAGTAAAGTAAACTAAAGTAAAGTAAATTTTATTCAGGAAAGAACATAGTTGATTTACAAACATAATGTTGGATTTATAGATAGAGCTAGTACATAAAATACCTAAAGCCACTAATACGCATAGAGTTCCAGGTAAGGTGAGGTGGGGGAAAAACACTAAAACTTAATAGTAACTGAGCTTACTTTCCCGCTCTCGGTGAAGGCAAAAAAAACTTACCCCAAGTGCGCTCAGCGTTTCGGGCCATGGAGCGGCAACACTGAAAAGTATATACTCTTTTCACTGTCCTGACCTTAATGTTCGATGTACGTATTTCATTTTTGTACCAATGTGTTCGCATTAGAATGTTCTAGAAGAACATAAGTATAAAATGTCACCAAAGCATGAGTTAGACCAGCACCAAATAAAGAACTACATAGATCACTAGCCGTGAGCGCCAAACAGCGACGAAATGTTTCTATTCTTTTCAGGGTTGTCAACTCCACACTTGTCCTGCAACGTTAAATTTGGTATCACTGATATCGCAATAAAATTCCCTACACGGACATATGCATATAAATGTATAATCATGATCGCGGCCCACCCGCAAGAGTGTGGGAAGTGGCCTAAATGTTACCCGTGAAGGCACGTTGGGGAAACCCCTATGGAAAAGTGTATACTCTTCACTGTTCTGACATTAATTTTCGATGTACGTATTTAATTTTTGTAAATTTTTGTAATTTAGTGTGTTCGCAATAGAATGTTCTAGAAGAACATATGTAAAAAAATGTCACACAAGGATGCGTGCACTCTAGATAAAAAAATGTTGCACTCAAGCGACATATGATCGCGAAAGTGTATACAATATAAATAAGTGTGTGTATATATATGTTTAAGTGTATATAGTATAAAATGCGTTGAAAAAAATAAAAGATAGAAAAGGGGCGGAACATGGTAGAGAATTGTCAATATACAAGTTGGTCAACAAAAAGCATTGTTTAAAAATAGTAAGACATGGGTTGACATTTAGGGGTAAGGTAGGTTACATGGAGTTAATTAGGTAGTACTTAGTTTTCCTCTTAAACTGGTTGAGAGAGGTACAGCCTTTGACATGATTGGGAAGGTCATTCCACATTCTGGGTCCCTTGATTTGTAGAGCATTTCTAGTTTGATTAAGTCGTACTCTTGGAATATCAAATAGGTATTTGTTTCTGGTGTGGTGCCCATGGGTTCTGTTACAACCTTCTAAGAAGCTTTTAAGGTCAGGATTGACATTACAATTCAGAGTTTTAAATATATAGAGTACACATGAGAGGATGTGCAGTGACTTTATATCTAACATATTCAGAGATCTGAGTAAGGGTACCGAGTGCTGTCTGGGGCCAGAGTTAGATATTGTTCTAATAGAAGCTTTGTGTTGGGTAATTAGAGGACGTAAATGATTTTGGGTAGTAGAACCCCAAGCACAAATACCATAGTTGAGATAAGGATAGACGAGAGAGTAATAGAGCGTCATCAGGTCAGGGCGAGGAACATATCTGATCTTAGAAAGAATGCCAACAGTTTTAGAAACTTTTTTTTTGCTATATTTAGAATGTGTCCCTGGAAATTCAGCTTGTTATCGATGAGGACACCAAGGAATTTACCATCAACTTTACTACTGATTTGTATATTGTTTATTCTTAGACTAATTTCATTTGAGGATTTATTACCAAACAAAATATAGAAAGTCTTGTCAATATTAAGGGTGAGTTTGTTAGCAGTTAACCAAAGATGGACTTTATTTAGTTCAGTATTCATAGTGATATTTAGAGCAAGCGGGTCAGGACTGGAGAAAATGAAAGTTGTGTCATCAGCAAATAAGATTGGTTTGAAGTGTTGAGGGGGATTTGGAAGGTCACTGATGTAGACGAGAAAGAGGAGAGAGCCAAGTATGCTGCCCTGGGAAACAACAATGTTTATGGGTAGTGTCGGAGAAATGGAATTATTCACAGAAACACACTGGAGCCTGTCGGTAAGGTAAGACTGAAGGTATTGCAGGGAGTGACCTCTGACTCCATAATGATGTAATTTAAGAAGAAGGTTTTGGGGGTTGACTGTCAAAAGCCTTACGTAGGTCCACAAATAACCCAACAGGGAACTCA